TGCTTGAGCTTCTAGACCCGGATTTTGAGCTTATCTCCGCAAGATCTTTGTCGGGTCAGTCTCCAAGCCAATTGCTGACAAAAGAAATGGGTGGCTTCATTGGGGTCATTCTCTCAAGGAACGGTGTCTGATTCCCATTAAGAACTGGCCAAACTCTTGCCAGTAAACTTTCAGGCGAGGATTTACGCTGCGGTGTATCAAGATAGCCAAAAGAATGAGCGAATCTGAACCCCTTGACTCGACCCTTCCGACAAACCTACCAGGTGGCGTGTCATTCTGTGATATATGCAGCAAGCCCTTCAGCCAAGGTTGTCCAAGCTACTACATCTACCTCTCATGTTCAGCGCAAAATCTAACTTGAAAACACCGGCACAGAGACTTCTTTGCAACGCCATGTGTCGTACTGCCGACGGGCAAGGGAACGGCCCCGGAGCCGACCGAAGCCTTGCCAAGAATGCATTGCAGCCAAACAGAAGTGTAGCTTCCAAGGTCGCTGTACACGTTGCACGAAGAAAGGATTAAACTGCGTCTACTCGGAGAAAAGAAACCATAGGTCTACGAACAACATAGAGGCCCTCAACCCACGAGTTTGGGCGCCGAATCTCCCCGCCTTGGATTTGGCTGATCCCGACTCTACTTTCGCATTGCAGATTTCGACTTTGGGTGAACAACTACGATGGGATTCAATCTTGGAAACATTTGAAATGCCGAATGAAGTCACTTTTGAAGATTTCCCTCTGACGGGACCAGGACTTCCTCACACGGCCGAGAACCCGATGATTGGCGACACGGATGGATTCGTCACGTCAGAACCCTACCGACAGACACTGCCCGATTCTATCAATCATGATAGGTGTGTGATAGCAAATACATCTTGGATTGTCTTTCCACTTCAGTTCATCGGCGATGTCAACCCAGCAGCGGAGAGCAGCGCAAACATGATCAAACAGACGCTGCGGTCATATCCCCAGATGATGCTACGAAGATCAACATTCCCACCATTCATACACCAATACCAGGACAAGAGCCATCTTCCCGAGCCGTTGGCAAACTGTATGGGTATTGCGATTCTGTTCACATCTCGAACCGCAGATACGAGTCCGTTCCTATGGCAATCAATTCAAAGGGAGCAGGAGAGAAACCTAAGCGAGGTCGAAAAGATGCCATCACCCTGCCTGATGAACTTGAAATGCTGATTTCACTCAATAGATGACAAAATTCAACAGAAAAGAGATTTTCGCCTCATTACAGGCAGAGTTGATTTATATCATCATGCGGGTTGTCGGCGGCGGGGGCAGCACCCCAGAAGACTGCGATTATAACACCCACATGCTGTTAGCCTACGAGGTATCTTATACCAATGTGCACTCTGAATGCTTGATGGAATGTATTGCGGCTAATACTCCATGCCTAGGCGCTTTGGAAACATTTCATGACCGTAACTGACACACCTTGTAGTATAGAGTCCAAGAACTCACAATCATGGGAAAACTGGATCTTGAACGAATCCCGAATCAGGTGATTATATCTCGGTCTCATCTTGAATTAAAGTAGAAATGGCTAACCAGGGGAATGCCTCAGAATCGCCTGCGTATGGTTTCTAGTGGCCCAAGTAGCCACTGTCAAAGTAGGCATATCTTGCAGCATTCTGGACACATGGAGAGAATTACCACTTCCATGTCACAAAATACAATGGGGCGCCATAACGCCGGAATCATGGGATGAAGAAACAAAAGCTCTGGGAAGTCTCCCCAGCCGAGGCAAGGAACTGGCTTGTTTTGGGGAGCTTTTGGAAAGTCATCAACGTGCTAGCGATCAAGTTCATGCCGAAACGCTTGACAGATGGAACTCAGGAGCCGATAACATTGGGGTGCTTCTGAACTTAGCCACAGTATTGATGTAGACCTGGCTCTTAGGTACTTGATGGAAGAAAACATCACAAAATTGTACTACATGATATTTCTTGGAACCTGGACCGCATTTAGCTTGATTTATCAACCTAGGTAGTCAAGCTGAGAAGACCACCCTGTGAAAGCAGAAAGATATTTGCTATAAACCCTGTCTACTTCCACAGAGGAGGCTGGACCAGGTACACTGTCATGTCCAGATGTCTAATCTACCAAGCAAGGGGCCCCTCCCTGTTTGAGAACGTGCCGGTCGGCCCACCCGGAGCTGCAGTAGCTAACTCCACAATTCTCTCCGCCCCGACTGAAGTCGGTGCACCGGCATCCATCCATCCAGTCAGCTTCGTTTTGACTAAGCCGGGGCAAACTGCGTTCGAGGCTCCGCCGACGTCCTTGAGTATACGAGCGTAGTTGGTAGCTAAGATGTTGACAGCTGCCTTGCTACCGTCATATGCCTTGTAGTCGATGTTGTAGAAAGGCATCCTCTCGTCCGCCGACGACTCCAGCGAGCCCATCTGGGACGACACGAAGATGATGCGCGGATATTCGGATTTACGTAAGAGGGGAAGAGCTGCCTCACTTAGAACGGCTGTTCCGAAAACGTTGGTATCGTAGGTCTTTCTGAAAAGATCTCGAGTGGAGCTGAATGCATCAGGAGACGTGTCGATCAGAATGCCCGCATTGTTGATGAGGACGTCGAGTTTCCCGTGACTCTTTTGGATGGACTCGACGGCCTTCGAGATTGAGTCATCGGAGGAAAGGTCGAGCTGAACAGAAGATACTGAGCGGTCCTCGTTGTTAAGAGCTTCGGCGAGCTTAGATCCAGACTCGGGATTGCGGGATCCTATGATGACATGAAAGCCTGGGATTCTGGCGAGTTGTTGAACGACAGCCTCGCCGATTCCGGCGTTACCTCCAGTGACAAGAGCGACAATCATATTGAAGAATGAGGCTTCAGAGAGAAGTAAAGTAGTCCTTTTCAATGTCTTGAAGAAATGAGAAGAAACTGCCTATGCAAAATGTGAGTTATTCATGCAGGTTTCGAAATGCATGCTGGCAGCGAAACATCCCACTTTAAATATTCGTCCGCAGTGCATCCGTACCAAAGTACTATTCATCAATAACGAAAAGACCGAAGAGAATTGTGTTCTCATTGTGTGCAAAGAAAGTGTGATTTCGGCCAGTTTCGCCGCCCCCCAAACACGGTAATACATGGTGGACCGGCCAAAGTGAGCGGTGAAGAGTGGGCCTCGGCCATTCTCGCCGGCTTGCGGAGTCGTCGTAGTTTGGTCCATACGGACCATACGCCAACGTCCTGTCAGACATGAACAGAACCGAGATAGGGAATAATACAAAGAAATTTGATTGGATACCGATAGCATAAACTGAAATGCCAGCTAAAGATAATGACGTGATTCGGTCGCGAGCAGACATAGCATGAGAGCAGGATCGTGAAGTGCAGGCCTTACTGTTGACGAAAGTAAGTACTTACTTAAAGGTATGTACCCCGTACTCTATATTTTCAATGGAACATCACGATCCATACATGCAAACATTAGATGTGGCCTTAAAGCGTGTTAATTATTCAGGTAGTTAGTGGAGTTCATGAGTCGTATGAGTCCACTGGATGTATATCATTGCGCTCGCTGGCCTCGAGCCCAGCGTAGTCAGAACGCGATGGTATTAAGCCCCGTAGCAGCGTCAATAATTATTCTAGAGTAGCCACTCAATAAAATAAGCCAAACAGAAACAATAAGAATACTTAGTTTCAGAAACAGACAACGATAAAAAGACGTGTGTTTCAGCGTTAGCGTTATCTCAGCTCCGAGCCGGAGCTACATACGGAATGTCAATAGCGCGATTAATTACCCGCAGTGATGGACTAGGAAAGAAACATGCTCTTACCTCCTTTCAAAAACCTGGAGTAATCGGCGAGATACTGTAGACAACAGAATACTTGACATCATGTCGTGGTGCGGAGTTCTATCATGGGGCAGGAACCCAACTACTATGTGTGAACTTGAATGACCCGAGCTGTTATGGCGGCCTACTCAACGGCGTAACGGATATCGATTCGCAATTGATCTGAAATCGGAAAAGAAAGGATCTCATAAGTTTCCTAAAAGCGACAGGCGCGTAGCTTCTGAATTCTGAAGACATCTGGTGTAGTGCGCATTCGTGTAAAACTACTCACACAGTACGTGAGAGTCAGTTTCACCCACTGGGCTTATCAAATTAATACCTAAATCACCAGAACTATTATTAGTGTAGACTTAACCCCCAAAAAACCGGACAGCAAGAAACTCTCAGCAATATCGTAGTCTTGCACAAGTTGCCTTGTGGCCTACGCGGCAAGTCGGGTATCCGAGCATAATTCAAATCACAAGCAGCCCCAAGATTCGCTTATTGGGCATTGGCGCTCCTCGCGACTTGGCAGAGTATGGCGGGTTGGTGGTTCTGGAGTATTGGATGGCGTGCATGAGGAACATGAGGTCTAGCACTGGGCAAAGGTCGAGATTGACAAATGTTGACATTGCCACAAAAGGTGTGACAGGCACTGACATTTCGTTGATGGGATGAGACGTCCATGCAGGGGCGTATTTTCAAGTTCGACGAAGAAAGTCAAAGAGGTGCATTTGGTCATAGCTCGAGCCCCAATTGAGGAATGAATTTGTAAAATACTTGAGATGAACGTCTCTCCAGCTAAGAGAGTTGGCCGACGTTCTTTGACTGCTGTTTGGAGTCAGGGGCGGACACTAGGGTGCTCATTATCTGAGGTGATCAGCCACCGCTCACATAAGTACTGTCGTCGGAATTTTGATACCCTGCACGGCCACTGACTTGATGAGAATGCGGGACATTCTCCGGTCAAACAATTCTTGAGACGTTTGGAAGGCATGCCTCGAGTATTTGAGAGTGTAGACAACACATGTAGACGCCGAAGACTGCCTCGGCTTTGAAGCAAGCAAGATTTTGAGTTCTGCTCATCAGCTGGTGAATGAGCTGATCTGCGGGAATTGGTCTGAAGCCTTTGCTCTTTGTCTATAAAATTCGAGGAGTACCCTTTATACGACCCTTCCAAGTTCGCAAACCAACGCCCAAAGCTATTCGACCTTCTTAGAACTGAGCAGGGGGCATATCGACATCTTGCATACACTTTCCTATCGAAAACCACACCATCACCATGCGTGCGCTTGCTATTGTCACGTCTGCTTTGCTGGCCAGCTACGTCTCTGCACAGCAGGGAGCAGTCTGCTTCGACGACTTGGATTGTTTGCTCTCAGTAAGAAAATTCTGGAGAACAGACCAGTCTCACCATGTTGACTGACCTTGTGGAAGGGAGGACAAAATGCCAAATGTGTGAGGGCACAGGCTGGCGGTATCACAGGGTGAGTAGAATGATCACCTTGTCATGTCCACTGCACTTGACCGAGGATGTCATGACAAGATCGAATATTCGCATTGAGGCACAAGGCTTACTCGGTTTCAGAAACTGCGCTGGAGGCAAGGCCGCTGGAGCCGCCGGCGCCGCAGCGGGAGCAGGGGCGGGAGCTGCCCAGCCGGCTGGACAGCAAAACGCTGCCGCCGACCCCACCGGCTCTTTATTGGGAGGACTCACGGGCAAAAAGGCTGCAGGAAAAGCTACTGGCGGGGCTGCAGCACCAGCAAAGGCGAAAACTGCTGGGAAGGCAAAGGCTCCCGCAGTAGGGGCTCGTCAGGCTGCTGCTGCACCCGCTGCCTCCGCTGCTCCCGCTGCCGACCCCATTGGAGCCGTGCTCGGAACGGCAGCCGGCCTGCTGAAAGGGAAGGGTGGTCAACCGGCTGGTGCCGCTGCTCCAGCCGGATCTCAAGCTGCTGACCCGATTGGGCAAGTCTTGGGGACTGCTGCCGGAGTCCTCAAGGGCAAAGGAGCTCCAGCTGCCGGAGCTGCCGCTCCCGCAGGACAGCAGGCAAACCCCCTTAACGCCGTACTCGGAGCTGCAGCAGGAGTGTTGAAAGGAAAAGGAGGCGCGCAGCCAGCTGCCGCAGCTCCCGCAGCCGGCGCCGCAGCTCCTCCACCAGCTGCAGCCCCAGCAGCACCCGCTCCATCCAAGCCAGCAGCCGCGGCCCCTGCTCCTCCAGCTGCCTCTAAACCTGCTGGTTCAACCCCGGCCGTTCCGCCAGCTGCCGCTCCTCCTGCCGGAGGGAAGCCAAATGCTCCGGCTGGAGGAAAACCGAATGCTGCACCGGCCCCACCCGCTGTAGCACCGGCAGCTCCGGCAGCCGGAAAGCCCGCCCCTCCGCCTGCCGCGGCTCCTGCGGCACCAGCTGCTAGCAAACCTCTTCCCCCTCCTGCAGCAGCTCCTGCCAAGGCTCCGGCTGTGGGCAAACCGGCTCCGCCTCCTGCTGCTGCTCCCCCTGCAGCTCCCGCCGGCGGAAAGCCGATTCCAGCTGCCCCAGCCGCGCCTGCTGCGCCTACTGCGCCTGCGGGCAAACTGGTTCGCCGCATTCATTTTTAGATTAGCGGAAAATCGCATTCTAGTTTTCGGAGCGCGGCTTTCTTTCTTTTGCCCTGTTGTTTGGCTTATACACACTGGTGTGAGAAAGTGAACAGGCTTGGATTCGATAGGAAGATGATTATAGGCAAAGTACCTATTAGGCTACAATCCATGGCCTAAAACGGGCATTGTACTTTCAAAGACAATGAGTCTATGCGACTTAATTACTTGATGTAGAAATTGTGACTGAATTCTGGGTCGTTCAATGTTAATACCATGCAATACCATAATCTTGACTAAGGTCACGGACAACATGCGGTATCCAATGTCAGCCCTCTCGAAGCGCAATATGAGATTGAGGGACCTGTCAGAGAGGCAGATCAGCTACACTCAAATTTCACCAGAATCTGTCAATGGTTTTTCTTATTGCAGTAAACAGTTCATCATATCAAGGTACTAATTCTTTGGGTAGATTGAACCGTGTAGTACATAATGCGTTCCAATCCATTATTTGCTAGGTCAGCAATTTCTTCAGCGGCATCAAAAGGAGTCATTTCTTAATTAGTTTGGGTAAAGATCTCAAAATCCCTCTGTTCAAATTATCACTTTCAGGACAAGGGACGACTAGGATTTGCAACGAAGACAGTCGCAACGAGGTATAAATATTTAGAACTCCCATGTCAGAGAGACATCCAAAGAAAGGAAGTCGAGTCGCCAAGGTATTGCCAAACATGAAACATGTCCAATGACAGAAAAGGTTGCTTACTCCTTTCCAGAAGGATCACAGAACGAGAGAATGTCCAGAAAGCGACTGAGGACTAATCAAAGTCGTCCTCCTTTTCTACATTCACCGGTCAGGCCCTTTCCGTCACTTGGACCCACATATCCGATATTACGAATAAGCCCATGCAATTCTTTGCCCGCCACGGACGCACAGGATTGTTTGACGCCAGCTCAAAATTCCGCAGCATCTTAAGAAGTAAGTAACTTTACGTGGTCGAGTAGATAGTAGAGTTTTTCTAAATCTGGAACTCACCTCAAAAATAGTCTTCGAAAGTTCCATCTGAGCCACGGGTCTCCCAAGACACATGAACTTGCCGTGGCCAAAAATCAGGTCGTTGGTTTGAATCATCGAGGCAAGCTTATCTGGATCTGCTTCAAACCACCTCTCTGGCCGGAATGCCGTAGAATCAACGCCGTATGTTGCTTGGCTGCGATGCATTGCGTATCCCGAATAACCGACACAGACACCACCGGGTAAAAAGTAAGTTTCACCTTTCACCTCAATAGTATCACCTCCAAGAGGGACGTCTCGAGAAAAGATATTGAGGACTGGCGGCCTGACTCTCAGAGACTCTCGGATGACTGCTTGCAGATACGGGAGTTTCTTTGCTTGCCCCAGAGTGATTATTCCCTCGCCGAGCTTTGGAGCATTTCCATTGTGGACTGCGTCGTCAATCTCATGCTGCAGCTTCGCGTAAACCCTGGGATTCGTCATTATTTGCAAGAGCGTTCCTCGTATGGCAGCAGCGGTTGTATCTGATCCTGCGATGATTTGCTCCAGTGCCTCAGACTTGAGCTCATCACCACTTAGTCCATGGCGTACAAATGATGCAAGCATGTCCGACCTTTCATCCGTCGATTTGGCAGTGCGATCATCAACGTATCGAAAGCATGCTGCAATCATTTTGCCAAAACCGTTGTTGTCAGTGGGCGAAGGAGCTATGAATCTGCCAATGACGGGTGATTGAGCCATCCAGCTGATGCCGATGGCACAAGCCATGCTAACAGCAGATAATCCCTCCTCGGTGGATTTCAGATAATCATCCACGTCGCTGTCAGTCCGCAGCATGCCGAACGGTTTCCCAAGCCCGACAGAGCTGATGACATCGAGAGTGAAGTACTGTACCTTTTTGGCCAAATCCATTGGTGTAACTTTACCATCGGTTGAGAGATATTTGGATCTTATAAGACCAAGAAGCTCCTCAAGGCGTTGATCAATTGTATGTTCGAGGTCTGGATTCTCTCTACCGGAGTACTGATTAAAGCTTGGGGTTAGTAGCTTGTTCAGACTCCCGCGACTGCTGATGGAATAGATACTCCCGGCGCCATTTGCCTCCTTCGCATTTCATGTTTCTCGTTATCCGTCTGGGTGAAGACGTTATCGCGCTGGTATTCGATTCGCCAAGCGTGGTAATACCAGTCGGAGCGCTTGTAACCAGGATGTCTATTGACATGGGCCCAGACTTCAGCTGAAGACGTGATTAAGATCCCAGGTGCGATGCGGGTAATGAGACCTCCAAGAACGTCAATTGATATTTTGAGACAGCGTACGTTGCGAACGAAAATACGACCGACAGTCTATGAGTGGGCTCTGGGGTAGAAGTGTGTACCATATCTTTCGTTCATTCCGGCGTACCACTCATGGCAATTCGAACTGAGGATTGCTCTGCTGTGAGGCCAATGGGTGAGGCCACTCCACCAAGGACCTCCGAAGCTACGAAGTTTGGCATAGAGTGCGGCTCTCCGGACGATGCACCAGCAGAGGAAGAGGACGAGAGCCGGCACAGCGGCGTTGCCAAGAAGAAGGCCAAAGACACCCATTACGCCTTTCAGAAGGAAGATGGGCGAAGACTATTTGTCTAGGGTATCCGAATGATGGTCAAACAATGTTATAGTTATGGCACAAGCTAAAGACGTCATACCCCCGCACTTTAGAGGTCAAGGTCAAGATGTTGGATTGCCAAAGGTGCCTTCCAACGCCCCAATCACATTCTTGACATATCCAAGCAACCCACATCCAACGCTGTGCTCTCTCCTCATTCGATCGCATGTCAGCATACGATGCATTAGTCGAATCAAAAATAGATCCATTTCCAGTTGGTAATTGTTGGGTAATTATTCAGTCGCATTCAAGCGATGAAACGTGGGGAGATTACACCATACGTACCCAACGTGGCTTCGAATAAGTAGCCAAGAGAAAGGAAATCGTTGTTATCAAGATCTACTTATACAATCCGCGGATTAGCCGGAGAGGGCTTTTGGTCGATTGCCGAGGTGATGGTTTATGTTAACTCCCGAATGGGAAAGTTGCATCTCCATATAAACCAAAATAGGGTACACATATTCAGTAAGGATCAGTGGAGATTCACCACATACTCTATATAGCTACTTCGTAGCGAGTTACAGCTATGCAAGAAGAACTAAAAAAAGGTATTCGAAACTTCTGCGCCTCCGTGCCTCTAACAAAGGGCTAGAAAAGAATTTAGTAAGATTGCATATCGAATGATCACACTATGGCAGCATACACGAATGTATTTAATTCTAATGGGGCTCATGTACTGTAGGCACCTCAACGTGATTGAATGCTATTCTATTCGATAGAAGATAAGAAAGCATCAAAAACTAATTTGCGGGTTTTGTTGAATAGTACTATGCGGGGAGGGAATGATGGCTCAACTTCTAGTGCTGCAGGCGGTGTTGAGAGTATATCAGGGGCATTGGACGAGGATCAAAGCTTCGAATAAGGATCAAGGCATCGATTAAGTACATTTGTCTTATATTGCCTTGTACACCAGTACAGTATAGAGTGATGATGTTACTCTTTCTATCCTCGTCGACGTGTATAGGTACGGTCGTCAATTGCGCGCCAATCCAATAGTCCGACTAGGTGAAATTCACCAACATACGTAGCAAGAGAAATCATCTTTGAGCAAGGGGTGGAAGTGAGTGAGCGGGGGCTAACTGTGAATGGATCTACTTTGATGACAAACGTCGTCGTGCCATGCTCTATTGATCGGGAAGTTTCAATGTTTTTACCTGAATATGTACCTTGAGTACTTTGCTAAAACAGGGAATGGTTTTAGGTAAGTATTCGTATTTCTGCCAAGTTCTTTAATCACGACAGCTTGACGATATAATTATGCAGTGAGCGATCTGAGTGTTAGTGTGGTTTCTGTTGATATTGTGATGCCCTCAGGGCCTCGACGACTTTGAAACATACCCTATGTGGGGATGTATTGGGCGCGTAAGTTATAACTGCTTTTGCCCTTGAGGCTTCCTGACTGCCCCCTTCAACTTTTGAAAATCTATAGGTTGAGTACTTGAATAACAATGCAAGGGTAATTACAATCATTCATTCATTCGAAAGTAGGCAGATCACAAACTTTATCTACAAGAGTCAGTAATGTCATAAGAACTACACGCAGCCCTCCGCATTACTTCTAACTGCGAGTTGTAGGGTCTAGTTTGAACAACACTTGGGTGACAGCTTGGATCGATGTTGATCTATCCTATGGCTTTTCGCAGTGCCCAACCTGTCGGCATTCTCCGCAGTCTTACGTAGCTGTGTCGGGTATCCGTACAAAAACACATGATGCCAGATGGAGAGAACCATGAGCAGGATACGCCGTGGATAGAAAGTTGACATGACGAGAGCAAATCTACCTTGTCCTGATCAATGATAAGAGCCAAGCCCCAGCTTGATCATCCCGCAATGTGGGCGTGATCGGGGCATGAGAGACAGGAGATAAGGCGGCGGTCGGACAACCATTGCAGCCGGCGGGATCCAGCGGGAATTGGCGGGAGGAACGATCGGCAGATCGAGATACCCCCGGAGATGTGGGGACATGGGCGGTGCGCGACTCCCGGGATGTGGGCGGAGCAGCGCGGGGTCGTTGGAAGGATTTCCTCGCATCCGGGGTGGAACAGACGTCAAATTAAGGAAGGTAACATCCTCGTTGGTCGGCAACGCCCGATACTCATAAATATAAGCTTGAATCGGCCAATCCCCGTCGTAATTAGGGGCAATGGTAGTCAACCGCCAAGGCTGCCAAGAGAGCCAAGAGCTGGCAGTGGGAACTGCAATGACCGCAATTGAGCCCAGCTTTACGCGTTGTCCGCCAATGATTTGTTCACGATTGGCGTAAGAGGCAACTCGATCAACGGCATCTGCTAGGTTCAATCACACCGTTGCACAAGATACGAACGGAACTCAGGACTTGGTGCCTTTCTTGGCTACAGTCACCGTCTTGGCATTGCCTGTTAGATGGCAAAAGCCGCATTTCATCTTGGCAACTCGAGATATGCCGCCCAGCCGGCTTATCACGCAAGGCCGTTTGCTCCTGTCGTCAATTTCAACGGCCTGCAACAAGACAAACTCAGCAGGTGGCCACCTTCTGAGCATGAATCAACTCCCCAGTCATGGAGCCACATTCAAGACCACCAGCCAGAAGAGCGTTGAATAGTCCCCAGTTTACGTACGACGAGCCTGTTAGCCGTGATGTTGCTAGACTTTCGGTCTCTTCCGTTTGAGGAAGGTTGAAGTTGAGATGTTCAGGTGCTCATGATATGGATCTTGGAATGGCATGTGAGCTCAACAGCAGACAGTAGACGGCAACGAACTTATATAAACTGTCGAAACATCAGCCATCAAGGTGTTCTTCCATCCTCATCCCACCCCAGGCAAGCCAATTCCAATCAGGTGTCCGGTCTCTTCTTCATCATGCAGTTCAAGACTCTCTTTGTCTCCGCTCTTGCGGCCGCCTCTACCGCTCTTGCCCAGCGTTCCTGCGGTACTCCATCCCCTACTGAGGAGCAGATCGAGGTTGCCCAGCGTCTTCAGCTCAAGGAGGACAACGCTCGTGTCGAGGGTAACGCTACTCGCCTTGCTCCCATTACGGTCAACGTCTACTGGCATGTCATTGCCACCTCCAACTCTGTTAGCGGTGGTTACCTTACCCAGGCCACCCTGAACGCTCAGTTGGACGTCCTCAACGAGGCTTACGCTCCCCACGACGTGTCTTTCGCCCAGGCCGGTGTCGACTGGACCATCAACAGCCAGTGGGCCTCCGACAGCGGAGAGCTTGCCATGAAGAGATCGCTCCGCAAGGGCACTTACGCCGATCTGAACGTCTACTTCCTCCCCGGCACTCCCTACCTCGGATACGCCTACTTCCCCACAACTGTCACCACCGGCTCCTCTGCATTCTACTACGATGGTGTTGTCATCCGCTCCACTTCGGTTCCCGGTGGTAGCCTGCCCCAGTACAACCTTGGCCACACTGCTACCCACGAGGTCGGCCACTGGCTTGGACGTAAGTTTTTCAGCGCGGACAGACATGACGGAAGCTAACCTCTCAATCAGTCTACCACACCTTTGAGGGATACCAGTGCGGCGGTAACGGTGACTACGTCTCTGACACCCCCTTCGAGTCTGAGGAGGCCTACAACTGCGAGATTGGCCGTGATACCTGCCCCACCCTGGCTGGAACCGACCCTGTCACTAACTACATGGACTACTCTGACGAGTAAGCCTTTCTTTATCCAATGACCGGGGGACATACATGTACTGACTTTGACTTAGCGACTGCTTCACTCACTTCACTGATGGCCAGGAGACTCGCATGCACAGCTACTGGGACACCTACCGCGCTTCTTACCAGTAAATGGTTGAAGCCGGTTGTCAAGTCACTGACGTAGCTGGCATCAGTGTTGCGTCTCGAGTCTAGAACATCAGCTTGTTGTGGTCAGGTGATGTCATGGGAAGACTCCGCAAATGTGAATTCGGAATGAACTCTGCGCGTTCTAAACTGAAGATGAGTGGTGGAATTCCAGTACATATTTTATCATTTGGAATGAAGTGTATATCTATCAGAAAAGCCGTCATAAAAATGACGCATTACTTCCCAAGTGAATGTCTCGCCTAAATTGGCTGCCTATAAACACGTGCAGTCTTAGGAGGATAGCCACCTTTACTTTGAAACCGCTAATTCAAATTCCGACATCTTGTTTTCCCACAAGTTCTCTTATGGACTTGAAGATTTCATCGTAAACCCTCTGTTTCTTGCCCTTCGACTCGTTGCCAGCCTCCTCATACCACTGGGCCATCATACGTCGGATCTGTAAAGCCCTTATTTGGCAGTCCCGATCGCCGTCTCGCAGCCTTTCGGTGAGATGGGTTAGACAAACATGCCAGCGGTCAATCTCCTCTTTCTCTCTGTCAAATTTCGTCAGTAACTTGGAGGCAAACACGAAGCCGTATTTCTTTTCCACCCACTGAGGAACGGAACCCAATCTCAGCCCTTTCGCAAGGTCAGAAGCCAGCTGATATTTCAAGGTAAGATCATGCCCATGTTAGTACCTTATGCAACATACATGTACTCAATCAGAAAAGAAACTATTCGCTCGTCAGAAGACCCGAATTGAGTTTCGGAGCGAGCCACAAGCCTCTCGTAATTCGCCAAAACCTTGTCAGCATGCGCCGAGGGCTAGTATCTCAAAAACCGAGCCACCATGATAATAGCGACTGGATGCAACCCTCCGTGTAGCTTTTGGAATGAGTCCGCGCAGAATTTGAAGACTCGTTCGACCGCGAGCTTCATTCAGTCGAGTGAGAAGACGCGTAGCGACTTGAGACAATCCACCATCGTACTGGGTCCTTTCCGAATGATGAAAAGCCCTACAAGGCTGGAAATAACGTGGCCGACTAGGTGATCGTTATGGGGTTGAAGACGCGTGGAAGGAATGCCCACTTTTTCATCCTCGATACGATATGAAATCCCTCGCAGCCATAAAATGATTTTCTATATGTAGACCAACATTCAGGGAT